GACAAATTTTACGCGTTCCGCCTATAACCAAAATGATTCAATTCAGTTAAGTGAAATAAAGTAGTCTTTAGATTTCTTCTGTTGATAGTAGTTTGTGCTTGTTATTCTTGTTGTTGTTGTTATTATTGGTGGTCAGGTATCACCTTTATCACCTCCAACTTTTCTAGGTTATCTAGAACTCCTATTTTCTCCTTCTTCTCTGCCAAGTTGTTGATTTTCACCCGTAGATTTTCCAGTTTGTGTTACGTACGCTAAACGCAATTTGTCCGTGAAGTCTCTGTCTCCTCACTGCCGGCGTCATGCTGCAAGATCCAGTCCAACATAATCAGGAATATCATCGGTGATAGTACGCAGCCTCATCTTAGTCTTATCTCTACCTTAATTTTTAATTTACCTTCAAGATTTACTTTGAAAACTAATCTGATGCTCGCTAGCGACTGGCTACAAGTAAAAGGTGCATAGAGTTCTGGTGGGATGTCGTGACTAGTGTAATCCACCATGTCAGGCGTGAGGACAAAGCTCACCAGTGATATTGGTTAGCGGTCACGACAAAATCACGAACTGATAGAAGTTGGGATTCATGCAATGGTATTTGGATCGGGTCCCAGCAACAGAATGATTCACTAGCTTTCCCTAAAAACCAAAAGGTCCTCAATTCGAATTTTATTGGGTGGATGCTGATAGGGGGTCCCGAACAACCCAGAAGAATCTAATCGTTTCTAGTCATATGGGTATTTAAATTTAACCAGCTGTGTGACTGCTAGCAAAATGTTTGTTTTCGGAATACATGATCAAACTTTCAAAAGTGTTCACCATTTTAACGTTACCATGGTAACACAGTTTATGGAGCGTGATTAAACATCTATGCATAAGTTCTCAATAACTGCTTTTATTCAATATCCACTGAATGAAATCAACTAAAAGACAAATTCTTTTAAAATATGCGTCAGGAACAACTCATCGATAAAAGCTGGGACAGAAATGACGAATTCAGTAGTCAAATAAACAGATTCAACGATGCACGCCAGGGATCATGTCCACAAAAACAGATATTTGAATAAAGTGAGAACAACAGTGTTTTGAGCTGAATAAGAACACGGTAACATTTATTTCGTCGGCTTCCCATTATCTGTGTACAGTATGAAGAAATTAAGTTTATGTACAGAACAATTCTACATGCTTGCTAATTTTAGATGACGTCAGTTGACAGGGGACTATAATCTCTGTTTTATGGAGTCTGCTCTACAGACAGATTAAAGAAAGAATTTCTGATTATTAAAAACATGTTGAAAGGCAACACTTACCCTCAGAAATTCACTAACAAGTAAGGAAGATTCAAGTACCTACCTTCATTCCAATCGAATGTAAGTGCAGATTATACCGTGGGAATATTCAGCTAAAGATTGAACACTTCAAGTAACCAGAACCTATTCTTCAGTTAATTTAGTTTACGTTTATCTGTCGACAGAAGTCGACAGATACCTTCCTAATGCCAACTCTAACTGTGTATACACATTTAAACGTATCTGAGCTAGCAGTTACACTGAGAGAACAGAAAGAAGGGTATACCGCCAATTTTCGGAACATATACCAAAATGTCTACGTCTCAAGGAAACAAGCACTTACAATAGTGACAATGCCAGACAGCTCATCAATACAGATCATGAAGTGGACATCATGAAATCCTTTCAAATTACTAATACACAGAGTAGTTCAGTTCTCCTGACGTTTTCCGAAGCAATCGCTCTTAAACGCCTGGAACCTGATCCATGTGTGTTCAAAAAGAAGCACTTATCATTGGTCTTCCCTTGTTCCGATAACTGAATGGCTTTACTCTCCTCCCTCTCTCTCTCTTTCATTTGATTAAGTAACGTCTAACTTTAATCTCTACCTACTTCACTAGTATACTTTTGTTTGTCTCTTTTTTCTCCTTTATGATTTGAGTTGAATTCACTATATTGTTGTTATTCAGTGTATTAATTGCTCCTTTGTTATCTTATTGACCTCTTGTCTTTGTTGCGTAATCGCTTTGCCATTCTATGCCGTGTAATTTTCTGATCACTGTTCATTCACACTGAATGAACATCATGAAACACACTTTCAAATATGTTAAAATTATTCTGTGCATAAACTTGATAATAAATAGTGTTTAGGCTGCAAACAGCAGGTGATGAGAAGCTGACATAGTAAATGTGATGGTATCATCTTCTTAATCTGTGCAAACTACACTGTTGTTCTTGCTTTATTCAGATTTATAAGGGGGAATAAGTGTACAGAAGGAAAACAAAACAGATATCCCGTTATGCTGGAATATATATATATACTATATTATATTATATTATCACCGATAATATTCTTAATTGTGATGGCCTCGATTATGTGTCTAACTGTAAGTGGGGAGCGAGGAGATAGGAATATGCTGGACTACTGATAAGGAGACTCTAGAAGATCTGAACTTCATCCCTAGATGATATGTGTTTAATATCACATGAACTCAAAGACTTACAGGTGAAAAGCAACAATCTGGCTCAACAGGCTGAACACAGGACTCCACGTGAACATACACAAAACGAAGACGGAGATGATGAAGATGACCAACGAACGGCCACAACAACCATCACCAATCACCACTAATGGGAGAGATTTGACAGAGGTTACCTCCTTCACTTATACACACAGCCAGTGGAACAGACCAACCGAGCGAGAGCCGATTGGTCAACAAAAATATTGGAAAAACTGGAGATGGATTAATCGGGCATACATACATTGAGGAGGGAGTTCGTCGGATGACACCACGCGTAGTTCAGGCTATCTATCACTCGAGTGGAATCCACCAAATGGGATAGACGAGTGTGTTGTCGGTGCTACTGTGACATGGAGGAGATTGTGTGGGGAGTAGGAGGAGGAGGAGGAGGGGATGAGTAATTATGGGCAGTCGTGGAGCTGGCCAGCTGAAGAGGACGGCAGAAAATAGAAGAAAGTGGAGATTTGATGTTGTTGAAGCCAGCTCTATGTTCCATTCGGAACCCATGGGAATAATAATAATATAATCTACCAGTTACACATCGAATCTCTCAAAAAGATACCATGCGAAAAATTCTGAAGTGAAATCGGATCTTTTGCATGTAGTATAACTGAAAGATACAGGCTAGTTTAGATCTTTTAAGTTTTTTTTTAGGAATACATATTCGCCTAATGCAAGTGAAATAAGCCACTCATAGTTAAAATGCATTACACATCACGCATCACATGAATTATCTGCATCGAGATCACAGCTTGGATTAAAAGACTAAACTTTCCTATTGGGTGCAGGAAACATCTGTTATTCACATATGCTGTTCAGTATACTTCTAGTTGTCGTTGGTGTTGTTGCTGTTATTGTTGACGTTGGTGCATTTTCTCTCTCTCTCTCTCTCTCTCTCTGTGTGTGTCGATTCTCCCACATTTCCCATACTTTCACCACTCAGGTGTTAAAATAATTGATTCAGAAGGCAATAAATAATCTCGTCTTAAACCTAATAAATACATGCTACATTTCAAGAGGATTACATATATAATTTTAGCTTATTAGTAAAATTTTTATTAAACATTTTCACAAGATGTTTCTTTTTAAAGATTCATATTCCAAAGTGATTTTAACATCCTACTCTACATTCATTCAGTCTGTAAAAATTTTAAAATGTTTTCGTTTCCTTTTCTTCAGTAGTTACTAATTATTCCTGTACCAATAGTGGTATTAAAGGCTACCGTATAAAATCATGGATCTGAATTAAGGGTAGTTGTTACCACAGTAGAATGTTTGCCAAACACGCCTGATGCAGTTAGGGATTCGAAGCCGAGTTGACGCACTCCTATTATCTCATTAAGCTTGTGTTAGGCCTCAGTATAGAGGGAAGGTGGAGCCGTGAGGTTAGTAGCAATGCCACCTTGTAAAAATAAGATTAAAGCTACTGCTCAACGACAACACCAAGTATCAGTCAATCCACTGCGGGAAACTCAGCGAGGCATTCGGAGTGAATACAGTAGTAAGACAAGCTGGCTGATTGTTTGCCTGCCTGCCAGCCTGCCTATCATCATCAATTTTTTTATTTTTTTTGATTACAGCTTGATTCCACACTGTATTTTTGGTACAGGTATGGAATTTTCAGCATGGATATCGGTAGCCCAAATTTCGCAGGCCGACCATAGATATCAGGTGTGCGTCGGCGGGGGCTCGAACCTCGGACCATGTGCATGGTCGGCGAGAGTCCTAACCACTGTGCTACCGACGCACACAAATAAAATAAAAAGTCGGTCACTTAGTGCTTCTATGTGGGTCAGAAAGTTGCGCTGCCCTTGCATCCCTGAAAGCATTTCCAACAACCAGCTGCAAACTTTTATCAATAGATGCCGTCTTCGCTGGCTAACTCCATACTGAAGATCCAATGGCCAACCAACTAGCCAGCCGGCGAGAAACAATAAGCATGGAGAAACTCTGGCGATGAATGAACGAACCAACCAATGAAGAGCCGATTGTTCAACAATTATGTAGGTGAAAATATGAGATGGACTGATGGGGCATACTTTGAGGAAGCAGGCTGTGGAGTGACACCGCGCACAATGTGGGCCATCGGTCGACAGGGAAGCGATGAGTTGGTGGCCGTTGCGAGTGTGACATTTAGACGATAGTGTGGGTAATTATATATTTTTTATTTTATTTTTTATTTTGATTTACAGCTTGATTCCACACTGTATTTTTGGTACAATTATGGAATTTTCAGCATGGATATCGGTAGCCCAAATTTTGCAGGCCAACCAGAGATATCAGGTGTTTGTCGGCAGGGGATCGAACCTCAAACCATGTGCATGGTTGGCAAGAGTCCTTACCACTGTGCTACCGACGCATATATATATACAAGGTTAATCAGGACATTTTTCTAAGAAATCAACAAGATATGGGATGACCAAGAAAGGTAAGAGGACAGAATTATTCCAAAATAACAAAATAAAACAACACTAACCTTGAGTATTTTTTATTCAAGCTAGACTTGTGAGAGAGTGTAGAGTCTTTTAAACACAACTGGACATTCCTTGAATCATAGTGATCAATTGGTTCGGGTATATTGGAAAACTTAGTGAAACGAATCTCCGGCCTCGGAATATTACCTGAATAATACAAGGAAATGCAAGCAAGAAACACTGAAGTGGGGAGGTAATTCGGTTTTTTGAATATCACCATCATGCAGATAACTTCCCAGTTGGTGTCATGTTTTTAGATGACTTATGAATTTATATTAAAGAGTGAGTGATTATGTCTAAATATGGAAAATTTATTTCATCAATATCACTATTCCAGTAGCTTCCATGTTTTGTACTTTTGGCTACTAAAACAGATATTGTAGCAGCAGTAAGATGTGAATCATTATTTCAGTTGTCAGTCTTTCAGGAGGCATTCCATTCGGTCCTGTTGCCTTTGTGATTTTCACTAGGTTAAGTACATTCAAGAATTTTGCTTTTGTTGGAACACAAGTGTTCACCAGCAGTTCTGTGGTTTCTTAGGTGATGGTCGATTCAAGAGCCTATGAAGTGATCAATCCATCATTTTCTCCTTCAATAATTAAGTTCACTTAAGCATCTTTTAATAGGTTTCATCTGAGTTGATTTCTTGCCGGAAAGAGTAGTGGATATCTGACATAATCCCCTAAGGTCTCTTTCGCCCACTTCGTGTTTTTCTTCAGTTGCCACCAGCCAGTGTGTTGCAGCGGAATTATCTTTCATCTTTCCTATCACTCTTTTCCGTTGTCCATTTTTCCATTGCTTCATCTTCTGTCCCAACATCATTCTCTCTTTTATTAGCTTCCACGTGTCCCTTTCTTTATCTTGACTCTTCTTTATTCCTAAAATGACTGTACATATTTCTTTGATCATCACTATCAGAGAGTTTCAGTCTTCTTCCATAGAGGTCTCCTCACTGATACCGCGTACTGTCTCTGACTTTGTTATGAGTGATTCAATGGAGGTGGTGTCATTTGTAGTTTCGTCCTTCAATTTCTGGGTGTTGAATTTGAAATGATATCTATCTCCGACTGTTTTGATGAAGTTCAACTTGACCTTATAGGTTCCCTGCACTAGATAACTGTCTGAGTCCACATCTACTTCCCTTCTCGATTTTGTGTCCAACAGACTACGTCTCCACTTTCTTCAGCAGCATTGAGATGAATTCTATCTGGATTTTGGTGTGTCTGCCAAGTGCAGTCCATGTCGCATTGTGCATATTCTTGTGCTTGTACACGTCGCCTTCGTTCACCATATCACTGAAGGCGCAGAATTCTGAGCACAGTTCTCTAATGTCATTCAATTTGTTGACGGCTTTTCAACCCATTATGAGATCTGTTGTTGTTTTGTCTACCCAAGTTCGGTTGGCATTTATGTCGCCATTTGGCATCTAATCCATTATCGTTCATAGCTAAGTCTAAATATGAAACCATTGTGCGTCGGTGGCACAGTGGTTAGAACTCTCGCCTACCATGCAGCACATGGTTCGAGGTTCAATCCCCTGCCGACGAACACCTGATATCTATGGTCGTCCTGCAAAATTTGGGCTACCGATATCCATGCTGAAAATTTCATACTTGTACCAAAAATACAGTGTGAAATCAAGCTGTAATCAATATATTTATATATAAATCCTCCTTATTCTCTTGTTCCGAGTTGTTTCTAGGAGCGTAGCAATGGATAACTGTAACTTCCCTTCCTTTTGAGTTGAATCTTGCTGTCATTATCCTGCAGGAGGAGATCGGTTCCCATTACCCATGAATTTTAGCCGTTGTTGGTAGCATTCATGTTAGTTACTGTCTCTGTATGCTCGTGGTTGTCATCTGAGTGATCGAAGTATATTACTGACAGTTTCAATAGTCCACATACTTACCGCTTACTCTTACTGTTTCCTATCACTTTCACAGATTGTTCTTCCATTTCTTCGGCAGCTTGAGCAGACGTCCAAGCTTCGTACATTGTACAAAGGCAAACACGTCGGCTGACTGACTGACTTTCCGAAGACTTCCAACAGCCTGCAGCATAATGTCGTTTATCTGGTTTCAGCGAAGAGTTACTTTATTTTTTATATTTTCTTTCTTGTGCCTCGAAGTTTCTGTAGCGATACGGTTGATAATTCGGGAGAGGGTCGCCAGCCCCATGCCTAACTCTCCGTTTCTTCCCGAGTTTAGGATCGTTAGGAAACTAGCGAACTAGCAAAACTAGATATGGTTGACATTTCAATTACTTACTTGATCAGAACTCATTTTCCCTTTATGCAGACTTTCTATGTAGGCTTTTCTCCTATTTTAACCTTTAAAAGCCTAGTATTCTTGCATAGTTTAAGTCCCCTGAGTTCATCTACTTATTAGTTAGTCAGTGCATGTTTACCCCTTTTTCATAATATCTTTTGAAAGTAAATGTCACAAAGATATTTATCTCCATGTAATTCACCTCATATGTAATGAAAATAGGTTCTTTTTAGTCATTCTAGAAAATAAATGGTCTAAAATGTTTTCCCTGTAAAATCATGTTGTTACGCATAAACGCTTAAGTATGAACAAACGCCTGTTAAGTCATTAGTGATTAGTGGCTATAAAAGTGGAAAAGAAAGAGAATATTAGTGTGGGTGGTTTAAAAATGATACAAATAACAAATTGCATTTTTCAATTAAATGAGTCGGCTGTCAACGTGTTGTCAAGGAAATAAATAACATGATATGAGAGTGCCTTTTGTCATGCTGATAGTCGACAGTTCATATATACATGTATACATATGAAGTCGTGATCACAATATAACATTGATTATATGAAATCCTTCAACCAGATACAATAGGGTTTTTGATGATACACGCAATTAAGAATAAGATTTTATGATTTTGCGGTGATTACCTTATTTCGGTGTGGATCCAGATTTCATTGAAATAAAATAAAGTGCTTAGACTTGTCATTGTTGACATGAAGGTAGTTAGTTAGCAGCTAGTGTCTGATGCAGCATTTCAGGGAAATTGAACCATCGGTAACAATTATAGCCGTTAGAAAAAGAAGAAGAATTTAGTGAAGACAGGACTCCAAGTGAAAACGGAGAACGCGAAGGGGATGAAAACAACTAACTAACAACACGCATCAATCACTATCGACGGAAGAGACTTGAAAGACGTCAATTCTTTCGCTTATTTTTAAGCAGCATCATTCCAGCCACGAGCCAGCACGGAATAGGATATCAAAACCAGAATCTGAAAGGCAAAGGTGAAATTTATCCTTCTGAGATCAGTTTGGAAATCTTCCACACCTAGCAGAAGAAATGAAACTCGGGTTTTCAACACCAATGTTAAGTCAGTTAGTCCTTCTATGTAGGTCAGGAACTTAGCGTGTATCCAACAGACCAGTGCAAACTTCTATTAACAGCTGTCTTCATTAGCTCCATAATGTAAATCAGATAGTCGTCCAAAAAGGATATATAGCAAGGGACTCTGAGAAGGAACCAACTAACAACCTGCCGCTTGACAAATATCCCAAAGAAAATGAAGATGAATCGGATACGCTACTGTTGCACGCTTTGTTCTGTGATGATGATGATGCAATTTCATCTGCACATTCGCTGCATTACAGGTAATACATCAAAGAGCCGAGAACATTTACGAGAACATTTAGCATAACAATTCGCCGAAAAGAGACACTCCACTGTATTACGTGTTTTGTTGATATTACTACTACTACTACTACAATGAAGTTTATCAGTTTTCAAGTTGTATAGCTATTAAAACGGTTTCATCTTTATGACCAACAAAATACCCTAATCCCATATACTTATTTATAGGAAAAATACAAACAATAATGAAGCAGCCTAACCCTTCTATTTACTTTAACCCTAATGCTAACCACAAGCATAACCCTAATACTAATTCTCACATTCTGTCAAACCATTGTTTATACAGTGCTTAAAAACGAGATTACTATGAGATTTGCACATCAGTTCACGTACAGCGTTCATACTGGCGATGTAATGACACCAGGTTCTATAAACTAACGGAATGTATGCGTTTACACCCCGTGGTCGCAGTCATACAGGTCAACTGTCCAATTGCCCATAACTAAACGTCTATTAACTCGTGACTTTCTGAATCTGTCGAGGCAAACTACCAGTTAACACTGAGACATCCAGCATATGACAAAAATGTCGACGTTATCACACCAAAAGTCTGTAGTGTATTTCATAGGTGAAATTTTAGTTGGACCTATAAAGGCAGTTAAACTTTAGTATACAATTGGTGGATGGTGGCTAGCAGTGGAATCCAGGATGCGCATTTCGTCCTATTTGGGACTCGCAGTTAAACTTTGTTACTAAAAGACAGAATGGTAAGTGACAGAAACAAAAAGATAGTAATTTCCTTTTATGGGTAATATTTGAAACATAAATACTCTCCTACATATATAAGCCTTTGTTCCCATCATAACGGAAGAGATAATAGAAATTCAGGTTACATTAAATTCTGTTAATTGACATTGTTCCACTTTTCACAAACAAATCTAATATATGACAAATGACAGGAAGTTGCTGCGCATTTATCATGACAATTTTAAACACTGAGATACTAACTCACTCACCAGTCAGTCAGAGATAACTTTCTCCTCTGACATAAATAACAATAATTAGCGGTAAGTGTATATTTTTCTTTAACCAAAAACAACCGACAAACGAGACAATATTTTGACTGACTGTTCCCATGTAAACCCAATAACTATCATATGGAAGGAAACAGAGCATTTCTGTGTCACATGATTTGTCGTCGTATAGGATATATTTTTGTCATTTGACGATACGTTTTGCTAACTTCAACGTTGGTTGCAATGATTGATGCTAGCTGAGGCGGAGTGCAGTGCAGAACATTTGCAAACTCGTTTTTTGCTTGTTTTTCCGATTATGGCTGACTGGCTAGCCTGCAGTCTGGCTTTGACATATTCATCCATTCCGACCGTTAGCTGCCTAGGCTAGATAAGTGGAGGCAGAAAAAAACTTCTCTCAACCCCTTCCCTCCCATTGGTTGTGATGCGTACTGTTTGTTGGTGTTGTTTCTATTGGTTGACTGTATTCATCGCCTCCGTCTCCACCTTCTCTATGTTCGTCACCTAGATGGAGTCAGTCCTGTACTCGCTGCCACTCAGTCAGCCTCTTGTGCCAGTTTATTGCCAGTTTTCGCCTGCCTGACTGCCTTCAGGTCTTCGAGTTAGTGTCCCATTCAACGATATTAGTCATCCACATGTGAAATGCAGATCTTCTAAAGTCTTCTTATCGGTCAGTACAGTATATTCATGTCTTGTCACCCAATCACTCACTGCCTGTGCACAGTGTGATGCATAATCCAGTCCACGACAATTAGGAATATCCTCGTTGATGATATGCAAGCAGGCTGTCAGCCAGCCTATTCTTATTGCTGAATGTATTCTCAGTTGATTCGATAAATAAAGCTTCTATTATCAATCTCTCCTTCCACTCTCTTAAGCTAGATTTAAGAACTGGCATTTTATGCCATCATCCTATATTGTATAGTTGTGTATAAGGTCATGTGGTGAGTGCTATAGCTGAAGTACTCTCCAGATTTCCTATCTTATTTTGGGGATAACTAATCTAGATTCCGCTAGGTTTTTGTGCCCCATTGCTCTGGCTGACCCAGTTCTGCTAATCTGACCTATGTATTTGACCTAATAATCACTACACCAGGGTATTAAATAAACTAAGCTGTTTTGTTTTATTGGCTCCATCGGCGGGATCTTTTAACCGACAAATTTCGTTTCTAATTAAGACTTTTGGGGAGTGTGAATGCCACATTTATTCCCCCCCCTACATTATTAAGAATTTTCCGCCATGTGGTTTCCAAGATTGCTTCTTTGTATGGAAGTACTACTGATGATGATTTAGATTCCCTGTCGTTGGTGTTGTCATTATCATGCGCATGTTTGACATGCATATCGTCATTGAAATTACTATTACTACTATTATTATTGTCATTAGCACTATCCCTACTATTTTTATTTATTTCATTTTTACATTTCCCTACATACCTCCTGATTAATTTGTCAGGGTAATTACTAATTAATTTTTTAAAGCTTCTCTCGGATGCCTCACTCCCTGTCTGAGATTTCCCTTCGTACTACTCAGTTTTTGTGCCCTATTTTCACTTACAGATTTCACCATTCCTAATTTTACTGACATAGAATGGAATGATTGGAAGTCCAAATATCGGTTTGAATGTGTGTGTTTCCTGTAAACACACTAGTGTTTTACTTCCCATCTTCTTTCCTTTTACGCAACAATCTAATATTGGAAGCTCCCTCCCTTCCTGACTTTTCAATTCATAAGTGAATTGGATTGCCTCCATCTTTGAGTTGATGTATTCAAAAAATTTGTATTTATCCTGTGTTTTAAGTACACTGAATTTGTTATCCACATACCTCCACCATACTTTTGGAGTGGGTCATAGCGTTTTAATCTCTATGTTTTCCCACCTATCTGCCACAACCGGAGATATTGGTTGACCTTATAGCAACACCCTCAGTTTGTTTGTATATTTCTTCCTGGAATTTAAATACTGTGAAAGTCAGGCATAGCTGCACTCCCAGCATTATGTCCTCAATTGGCACTTTCGCTCTAAGTGGAAGTAGACTATTATTATTATTATTATTATTATTAAGTTCAAGTTCTTGGTCAGAAATGAGTTCATTTAGATATATATATGTATATAGATATATATATATTTAGATATATAGATTTACAATGCCAAAACTAACCAATTTTCTTCACTGTCTTATTTTAAATTATATAATCTATTTTAGTTCATAAGAATTTGTAAGTCTAGATTTCGAGTGGCTTTTAAGAGGGTTTAATGCTATTCTACTATCCCTACGACAAATAGGAGAGAACAAAAAAAAACTATAGAACTCAAGTTTCGAAGCAGTGTGAGTATGATTGATGAAATGAATATGAACAATAAATAAATTGTGTTCAAAAAGCGTCTTCATCCAATAAACAATAATATAATATAATATAATATATATGTCTTGATTACCATTCATGAGATCAGGCGGATCACATACTGTGATAATCTGAATGGTCTGGTTTTCAAAGAAGACTGGGTTTGGGAAAATTCACCCCTCGAAATGTGTAATTTGCAGACTATTAATCTGCTTTATAGTGTGACCAATTCGCCGAAGCTGACAGCTAACGAGAAATCGGGTGTGGCTTGAACTGATTCAGTTAAATCAAAACATGTACACCACTGATCAGCTCGCCCTAGACAGGCGAAACGGATGTCCAGTTTTCTGACCAGCTAGCAATGATTACTGGTTGATATGAGTAGTGTGCAACTAGTCATCCCATTTAATCAATCAATCAATCATTCAATCAGTAGAACATAATTTTATGTAAAGGAATACTCATTAAGGACTGTATCATTTTGAAGTTTCATCTATTTGTCTTTATTAATTCACGTGAAAATTGTGCAGCATTCAACTAAGAGAATAAATACATCAGTGAAGTTACTAACAACAGATCCAAGTCCACCTACCTGTAGCTGTCAAACGATCCGATCGTCCCCATGTAATAGCATCTTTAAAAGGTTCAAATATCGGCGGGCCAATCAACTGGGGTATAGGCTTTGTACCCCAATAACGCCATTCAGGACGATTGGATTGCTTATTTCGCTGTTTTACCCACTTAATATGCATTTTTCCATGTTGTAATTCTGCATCCACGCTAGTTGAAACGTCTTTCATTTGGTTGTATATTCTGCGTGCTAATGAGAACGAAAAGTCAAAAAAAAAAGCAGAAATGGCTACAGTTGCACGTGTATGCATTAGGTAGATACAATAGGCTAATTAATCAAGTTTTAATGGATTTCATATGCACAAATCACCAGTTAGTTGAGACTAGAAGTATAAATCAGAAAATGATGAACACAAGTGCCTGAAATTTGGTTATAATAATTTATTGCCTAATTTCGAAAATTGGTTGGAGGATTTCATCATGAGCTGACATCAGTTAGAGAACCATTGGCAAACCAGATGGGAGTACTGGACAGCCGTTTCGTCAGCCTAGTTTGGGACTCTTCATTGGGACGCACCCACCAGGATTCGAACCTAGGACCTTCTGGTTACAAGGCTATCTAGCTCGTAGACCACTAGGCAGCCAATGGAGCCCAACCCAATGGCCCAGCTAATGAATTCTAACTTATGCCAATTCACACACGACATAGCACGACGACTTCACAATGTCTTCTGCAATGAGTTACTCCCTCACCTTCAACCTGATGTAACCTACTGGTTATGGCTTCCCACTAAAACCCCAGGTAACTGCCTGAATAGGGCCAGTCACTAGTAAGCATCAAATCAATTTTCAAAACAAATACTTGATTGATAATTTCTAAAATATTGAAATCACCTTTAAAAAAATAGTCGCCTTGGAATTTCTGCCAACTGATGGGAAGGGCTCACAAAGCTCACAAGCTAGAAGGTTATACCAAAAAGTGCATTAAAATACGCAATGAGGGGAAACGGGTCACCTGGATACTTCTGAGTTTATCAGACAACCAGAATAGGTGGAGATCACTGCTTTCCACTTACTAGATAATTGAAAAAGAGTAATGATGATTCTTTTACAAATTAAAACGCCAGATATATGCCAGTAGATATGTGTCCTAGGAACATGAAATTCAGATTTTCTCTTATTGCATTAATTTCCTTAAGGGTTTACCGCAGCAGCCAATTACTTTTTCAAATAGTCAAGATTTAGCCAAATTCATTTTCAAGTGAACACTCCTCTTGCCTAAATTACTACAAAAAACCACTATATTCTATTTAGAATCGTTACGACAAATGTGTACCAGAATAATATAAGCTCACCTTTTACTATTTCAAAGATTCTTGTCAACTGGTTACAATCTCTCCATGACTCGTCCCACCTCATATTACCTCCAACTGTGTTTACCAATTTAAATGTACGTGCCAGAGCAGATACAGTGAGAGAATGGGGAGAAGGATAAATTTGTCCGCATTTCTGAACACATACCAAAAAAAGAATCTGAGAGACTAAACGGCTCACAGGTATTAAACCACAGTGGGGTTTTGCACTGTCTACCGGATTCTGGCCATGGTATGGACAATGCGAAGATGTTGAAAATAATCAATAGGCAAACGAAAGGTAACTTGCTACCTTTTGCTGAGGCAAACGTCAATCGTCAAACAATGAAAACCAAAATCTATGTAGGCAGAATGAGACTCTGGTGAATATTGCACTGCCTTAGTGATAACAAAGTGTACAAATCTTACTACGTCTTGTTCTTTCCTCTTTAGAAAACAATCTTATTGTTTCGTCTACACACGACTCACTCACTCACTCACTCTACCCCACCAGTTTTTCTCCTATTTAAACAAAGATATGTTTTATGTATTTGAGTAGCCTAGTGTATTGTTGTACTGTTTCTAGTTTAACTTGGTTTCTACTCAAAGCAATCCTTGAACTGTGTCTTTTTGTTTCCAAGCATATTCATCTAATTATCCCAGAAATACTCAATCCTTTAAACTCCTAATTATTTAACAATTCACATCATTTGGGACTTATCTTGCTTTCTTTTTTTTTTTTTTTAAATTCCTTTACCTTCTCAGTGGAAGTGAGGGCTTCAAGCTCGAGGCTTGAAGTTTCAGTAACAGTGGTGTTCATTTTTACAGGATAAGGTTGCTCGCCTCATGTCCAACCTACCCTCCTTGTCGGCTCTACCACCAGGTTGAAGAGGTCAAGCAGTGCGTCAGCCGAGGATTGAACCCAGGACAACATACGTGGTCTGTGAGCATTCTACCGCTGTGCCACCGACGCGCCTGCCTACTCTTAGTTCCCACCGATTACTCCTTGTCATCATAGGAAAAAAAAATATATATATATATATGTCCAAACCTCTATAATGTAATTTATATGCCTTTTTGTATTGTTAAAAGTATAACAATAGCACGGAGTAGTACAACAAAAAGCCAAAACGATGAAATGAAACACATAGAAGAATGCCTGGTTGATGTCAAATAACTAACTATCCTCTGAAATTCATTAAGAAGATGAAAAAGGTCTAAAGCAAAATAAAAATGATGGTGAGACTAATAATCACAATAACATAAATAAGAGAGAATATAAGTCACCTGCAGTAGTTTTACTATATAAGAAGGAGGAAGGGGATATCTGACACTCTGAGTAAGATTCCTAATAAAGCAGAAATTGGGGTAATGGCAATCAAGCATACAAACAAACTCAGATAAGACAGGCCTTGTAGGCTAGAGAATCGTGTAAGTTGACACAATTAGACAAAATAATGCAATTTACAAAATACCTTGAAATAATGACTGTGAGTTAGGTCAACTATCTACATAGGTCAAACAGACCAGTACATCAGACAGGGGTAGTGAGATCGCCTGTCAGAAGATAAGAATTTAGCTAAGGTTAGAATGATTGATCCCGCCCATGAAGGTAAATAATTTAGAAGACATCTCAGCACTACATTGCACTTCGTGCATTAACACAAATGGGGTGGATAAGACAGACTCGAAATTCCAAAAAGTAATATAGGTAGGTTGGGGGGAGGGGCAGAGAGAGATTGATTACTATCAAAACAAGATTTTGAGCGAACACAATTGTGGTTTCGATAACTTCTTCTTCAGGTTCTACAGTTATAAATCCATGAATAATAGCGTATATATAGCCAATAAAGGCAAATGAAGATAATATCAGAAACTGTATTGGGATGCATGTTTAAGTTGAGGTGATAGTCCATTAGTTAGCATAGTCAATTAAATGTGCGTCGGTGGCACAGTGGTTAGGACTCTCGCCGACCATGTACATGGTCCGGGGTTCGAGCCCACGCCGGCGCACACCTGATATCTATGGTCGCCCTGCAAAATTTGGGCTACCGATATCCACGCTGAAAATTCCACACTTGTACCAAAAATACAGTGTGGAATCAAGCTGTAAAATCAAAAAAAATGTGTATAGGGTGTTTAGTCAGAAAACATGTGATGAAGTGTGAATGAACAATTGGGTGACCACTACTGGTCATTGAATCGTATGCCAGTGGCTGAATGGTCTACTAGCTTGCCTTGTAATCGGAAGGTCCTGGGTTTGAAACGCCGTGGGTACATACTGATGTGAACAATCATAAAGTAGGACGACGAAATCAGTCTTTCAGTACTACCTAGTGGTTTTTTAATGGTTCTCTAACTGATAAAAGAAGACTCTAGAAGATCTGAACTTCATGCCTAGATGATATGTGTTTAATATCACATGAACTCAAAGACTTACAGGCGAAGAGCAACAATCTGGCTGAACAGGCTGAACACAGGACTCCACGTGAACATACACAAAACGAAGACGGAGATGATGAAGATGACCAACGAACGGCCACAACAACCACCACCAATCACCACTAATGGGAGAGATTTGACAAAGGTTACCTCCTTCACTTATACACACAGTCAGTGTCCTTTCAACTCCAAGCAGTCGGAACGGATGAAGATGTTAACGCTAGTTAGAATCGGATAGACAAGATACCCACGCCTTCATGCACCTAAAAACCAATTTGCCAATCGCCTGCACTACACTCCGTCTCAGCTAGCGTAGACCACAAGATTCGGATTCTATTTCACACAAATGTCAAGTTGGTCTTTCTGTATGGGTCAGAAACTTGGCATTGGTGTCACGAAAGCATTTCCAACAGCTAGCTAGTGGCAGACTTTTATCAACAGGTGCCACCTTCACTGGCTGGCTAACTCCATACTGAAGATGGAATAGTCGGCCAGTCAGGAAGAATTAGTAAGACGAAACTCCTCAGTGGAACAGACCAACCGAGCGAGAGCCGATTGGTCAACAAAAATATTGGAAAAACTGGAGATGGATTAATCGGGCATACATACATTGAGGAGGGAGTTCGTCGGATGACACCACGCGTAGTTCAGGCTATCTATCACTCGAGTGGAATCCACCAAATGGGATAGACGAGTGTGTTGTCGGTGCTACTGTGATATGGAGGAGATTGTGTGGGGAGTAGGAGGAGGAGGAGGAGGGGATGAGTAATTATGGGCAGTCGTGGAGCTGGCCAGCTGAAGAGGACGGCAGAAAATAGAAGAAAGTGGAGATTTGATGTTGTTGAAGCCAGCTCTATGTACTATTCGGAACCAAAGGGAATAACAGTAGTCATAATAAAGTGATATGTAAATCTGTGGTCAAACTTTAAAAAGGCTTTATCTTTTTTTTTTCTTTCGTTTTCACCCCTACCATAATTTCAGTAGTTGTGATTGTTTGCTGGTTGTTTGTTGTTTCTTCTCATTCTCATTCAATCCACCTTCATTTCTATTTGTGTTTTGTTTTGTGGGTAGTTTTAATTTTCTTAATTTGAAAAATGGATTGGATAGAAGAGTTTGTCATTAGCCGTCAGTATTTTTTTTTAAATCTGTTTTCTCTCTCTGTACATGATGTCACATACACCTTGACAGGGAGAATATTATCGTTGTACGCACTTATACACATACATATCCCTTAGCATCATCATCATCATCATCGTCGTCGTCAGCGTGCTTCTTCCCCTAACCCTCACTGTGCCCACTCCAACTTTTTGCAGAAAACACCAAGATAAATAAATTTGAAAGAAATGACAAAGTCTAGACTAGACACAGTGTGTGTGTGTGTCTGTTGTGCTTTATTTCTACCTGTATTTGACCTGGTAAAACTCTGACTTAATCACTTTTTTCTCTGTCTTGCTGAATGTTTTTGCTTTAACTTTCTTCGGAAATTATTTATTAGATAATAATAATAATTATTATTATTATTCAGTTTTATTATTTTTCCTGTATTTTAACGTCTAGTTTTTTTTTGTAGTCAGTATCGTTTTATTATGATTGTTGTGTTGTTGTTGTTGTTGCTTTTTTTGGTGGAAGTGATGTGGGGAAAGGCGGGCGGGAAGGGGGTGGCGTAATGAATGATAATCTTTTGCATCGGAGGATCTTTTAAACGTAATCTCTCTCGCTCGCTCGCTCGTTCTCTGTAGCGCAGTATTAAGTAAACTTAATAGGCGAGAGTGAAAATGAATTTTTTGTTTTCACTCATTGCGTCAGATGACAGAAGTAGTACACAAAGTTAATCAGTGCTGACAGAATGATGAATATTTTCGTCGTCTCCGCCTTCTTCGTCTTCTTCTTTTTGCTTCCCTCCTTTCTACCTTACTTAGTCACTTACTTCCTAACTTGATTACTTAATGAGATGGGGAGAAAAGTACAGGACTTCTAATTGTCAGAAACATCTTGTTTATGAAGAAAATCATAATAGTAAACAGAAGGAATGAAAAGTAAAGTGCACAAAATGAAGCTTCTGTTGTAATAATATTATTTAAATCACTAAAAATACCCATTGAATCATGAAGAAAAATAGGCGAAAGACAATTCATTAGCAGAGAAAAGATTTTCTTTATCGACAAAATCATCTTCCATCACAGGCTGGCTGTAGTACAGTAGTCGTATTTGTATTCACCAAAAATGTATAGTGTAGTCTATTACTGAGTAAGAGGTTTGTGTGTAAGTGTGTGTAACACAACTGATATAGTTACTCAGAAATGGCTTTAGAAGTAAAAATAGAAGTTTTTAATGTTACGGAATACTGAATAACGGTAAAAGGAAGAAATAATTAGAAATTTGATATGCTTAAAGTTATTGTTGAGTGAAGACTGCCACTTATGAACATTGAATTTAAAGGTGATACCGCAGCTGAGATACTGAAGAATCGTATATGCAAATCACTGAGCGAAGCCTTCTTCACGGCCGAGCTACGGATCGACAAATGATCAGTGGATATATGTGTTTATAAACTCACCTGCTCCTGTGGAGCTAGTTATATTGACCGCACAACTTGGCGAACACTTTCAAAACGCCTATCTGAACATTATCTGGCATGGTTAGCAAAAGGACAATGCAATGCAATTACTAGCTCAGTTCTCCAGTACTCGGTGAATTCAAGCCATGTATCTCCACCATAATCATCTTTCACGATCACCTACAAGGTCGGGCAAATGGTACAAAATGGTACAAAGCTATTTCTGAGTAACTATATCAGTTGTGTTACACACACTTACACACAAACCTCTTACTCAGTAATAGACTACACTATACATTTTTGGTGAATACAAATACGGCTACTGTACTACAGCCAGCCTGTGATGGAAGATGATTTTGTCGATAAAGAAAATCTTTTCTCTGCTGATGAATTGTCTTTCGCCTTTTTTTCTTCATAATATTATTTGAGAACAGAATTCACTTGTACAGTTTTGAATGCACGCGACAGGCGTGATTTTAGATGCCAGGTATCACAGTACATCTAATGAGTCATTCAATGGTCAATATCAGTGGTCAATAAATAAAAGCATCAGTCGGTCAGTCAGTCAGTCGATCAGTCAATCAATCAACTTGTGAACCTGGAAATATCTGTCTCTGATGTGATCAGTAAAGATATCTTTTCAGCTCTTTCATTCTCACAAAGCTGGACAGTTACATTCTATTTACATAATTTTATATACAATGCAATTACTGTTTATATTTAATTCGACATAATTACAAAGATGACTTAAAGGTTATGATGATTTTCAACTTGATATGCAAATTACAAGGTGTAAATATACATTTCATTGTGAATACAATTCATCTCGGTGAAGTCTCACAGTGTTATACTGTAACATAATCATGTTGAGGTACTAACACAAATGTATAACTTCGTTTATTTATTTATTTTTTTGTTCCTTCGCGTTCTCAGTGGAATATATGGCTTCAAGCTAGAGGCTTGAAAGTTCGGTAGCAGTGGTGTCTATTTCTATCTATCTACAGGATGGAGCTGTTAGCCTCATGACCAACCTTTTCCCTTGATCAGTTTTTATTACTGAATTAGCAAGGTAAAGGAGTGAGTCGACCGGAGATCAAACCCCAGACCATGTGCATGGTCAGCGAACATTCTACCACTATGCCAACGATGCACAACTTCCCTTATAAAATTCCATTATATTCCATCGCTTGATTTGATTGGTAGTATTAGTATTTTCCGCATTTCCGGTATGTGAGTGATGAGTCATTCCTTTTGCACGTGTTGGGTGTAGACTCAATGAACAAGGATTCAGTGACCAGTCTCTCTCTCTCCCTCTGTCTCCAGCTACCTACATTTTTTTTTTGGAATTTCGAGTCTGTCTTATCCACCCCATTTGTGTTAATGCACGAAGTGCAATGTAGTGCTGAGATGTCTTCTAAATTATTTACCTTCATGGGCGGGATCAATCATTCTAACCTTAGCTAAATTCTTATCTTCTGACAGGCGATCTCACTACCCCTGCCTGATGTACTGGTCTGTTTGATCTATGTAGATAGTTGACCTAACTCACAGTCATCATTTCAAGGTATTTTGTAAATCGCATTCTAACAACAAGTTATTTGATTGAATGGAGGATTTCACCATGAATTGGCAGAAGTTAGAATTCATGGGTCGACCATTGGATCGGGTCCCAGTGGCTTAATTGTATACGAGCTCGCCTTGTAACCACAAGGTCCTAGGTTCGAACCCTGACGATGGGTGCGTACTGATGAACAGTCTCAAGCACTAGGACGGGGGAAACAACTGTCTAGTACTCCCTGTGGCAGGTTTTCCAATGGTTCTCTAACTAATGTCAGCTCATGATGAAATCCTGAAGCAAGAATGTAAGTAGTGTGATTAGTACCTTAGTATGATACTGGTTCAATCAAAAGCGTATTCATCATTAAAAGACGAATACAAATGTGTGGACAGGATGAGCAGAGAGAAATAAATTGAGATAAAAGTTTTTATAGGATGAATGGACTGAAAAAACAACAACAAATAAACAAAAGCTAACATGTTGAATTGAACTAGAACAATGATAGTAAAAGGCAGAGATTGGACTGGTTTATTTTGAACACATAGCAGTGCGCTTCTTCTTGAATGCATATAGCGGAGGCTTCTAAAGTACAAAGAGATCGGAAACACTCTGGCTATATGATAGATTTTTGATTACTTTGTAAATGTTGCTTTTGAATATTGAGTCAGTTGACATGTGAACTTTCTACAAATCGATCACTGTGTGGCCTGCTTAAAAACTTGAGCTAACAAGATCCTCGATCAGTATATCCCATGTAGTTTCATTTTGTTTTAATCGAATAAAATATGACCTTAAATCGTATTATTTATAGTCTGACGAGGAATTAAAGTATTTTCAAACTGTTGATTTATTAGTGTTCCTACTAAGCTTGAGAAAAAGCATTCTCGTGAGGGAAAGGTATCCCAATACATGAGACAACTGTTCCTGAGTTATATCCTTTGGTTTCCAGTCAAATATTGTACACTTCTCTAATGAGATAAAAAAGAAGGAATATCATAGGGGATTGGTTTACACACCAGGTAAGTCAGCATTGTGTCATACGATCTACTATCAATAAAATACCTAATTTGAAGATCCAGTATGCAGGCAAAATATCATGCAATAAACCTTACATTATATAAACACTGTCGAGAATAGTATAAAGCTATTCTTATCATTATTATCATATTTAAAATCATTATTCATTCACCCTCTCTCCACTATAAAAAGTATTGCTAAAAATGCAAGTCGGTTATAAGTTTCACCATTGAAATTAAGGTGAGTGGGATTCAGCTCAGAGTTAAGTTTATCTTGTAGACATATTAGATCTTCATACTTGCCACACATAGCAGTGATGCACACACTTATAAATGTGACATTGGTAATCAGATCACAAGCTAGATTTTCAACATATAAAACACATTAACCTGTGATGATCCTAACGGATTTTCCACAACAATGCTAACCACTTCTCAAAACTGATCACCTTCAAAGTTATATGAACGTCATCACTACATAGCAATACTAATAATAATAACAACAATAATAGTAATAATGAGTTCTACACATATGGAAGAATAATAAATGAAAGATGTAAAGTCCTCATACTGCTTGGAATGTGTTGTGTAAATATGCTACATTTTCAAGATAAACTACACCTTTTATTAATGCAATTCAAAAGCCTGTATGTTCATAAAATCCAGTTCATTTCTTTAAAGTGTCCTGTATACGCAATAAATAGACTGTGTTATCAAGTGTCTGCAAGCGACAAGAAACAAAACAAAACAAAAAAAAAGTAACTGCCTAACTTTTTAAAATACTCATCTCTATGTACATTAACAGTGAATGAGTGACCTGTACATTTGTTTTTCTAGTAAATCGATAATTTTCAAGCGAAAAATGCAAAAAAAAAAAAGACAAGCTGTCAAGTTAGAGGTAAGTAAGTATGCCTTCCTTACCTTCATCATTTGTAGGACGATAAATATTTTCACTTTCATAGCTTTTTCTTTCTATAAATTGATTAGCACAATCTGAATGAAAGTCATAAAACGCCTTTGAAATGATATTCGATTCTGATTTCGATAGTTTCTTTTTTTGCTGGTTACCAGCACTTCCAATTTCATCTATGCTTGAAGCATAATCTGAATCGATAAATTCACTTTTCATCCGTTCTATCTCGTCTTTTGTATAAGCATACTGTAATCCTTTATTTTTGAAGGTGTTATCATCACTGATAACACCTCCGACAGAGAATGGAGCTAATTGACAGAATGGACGTTGTAGTAGGCTTTTGTTTGATTTGATATCATCAGTATAACATTCTTGTCGACTATTTAAGTATCCAGACGATAATCCTTGTGCATCTTTTACCTCTAAAGCTTCACTTTTCTGTTCTTTTGATAATCCAGGTTGTGATGAAGTAATATCAGCAGGAGAAGTGCTACAAGTACTCATGTATACACCAGAAGGGGATTCTCCGGTAGAAGGAGTTACTTGACATTGAGTTTTATTGGATAACAATTTTTTAACTACAAGTTCATGTGGTATCCATAGTGCTGTATTTAGCGGGATTTTAAAACGTTTGCTTGCTACTTCTGCATTATTATCCTGTCGAATAAACTCTACTTCTAAAGGTATATCGGACACAGTGAAAGCTACACAGTGCAGAAGAAAAACAAATACAAAACACGAAAATCACAATTTTGATTAATAAATACATAAATAAAAATGGATTAGAATTTATGTAAATTCATTGAGCCTCCACAAGATCTAAGAATATAATGAAAATAGTAAATGAAAGATACCATAAAACTAAAGCAGTAAAACATACTTTCTGCAAGAGTTTATACGATAAAAAAAAATCAAACTAACGGTTACATACACACCAAAATTATACAGCTTACACAAAGTTCATTAAAACTCGAATTGCCATTAGGATCAATTTTAAAATATGCACAATTCAACCTACAATGCCTTGGCTAAATGTCTGATCACTATTCTATAACCCTTACATGAATAGTTAGTGAAATGTAGTGTGAAAGATGTATTTGAATCTACGGGGCGGAATTAAAGATATCAACATCAAAGATAAAAGTTTTGATATCTTTAGAAGTAAAACATCCCTTTTCACAAATTTACCTCTAATCGATGAAACGACTAGTTCTATCTGTGAACAAACAAATAACAGTTCAATAGATCTGATAATCTCAGTACAGAATTCAATTCAGTACTGTTGCTAAAGTGTACCATGAATGAGAGTTTTAAATTTGATGATGGACAGATTCCCTTCTAAATAAACTAAGCTTAATTGTATACGAGCTCACCTTGTAACCACAAGGTCCTAGGTTCGAACCCTGGCGGTGGGTGCGTACTGATGAAGAGTTCCAAACTAGCACGGGGGAAACAGCTGTCCAGTACTCCCTGTGGCAGGTTTTCCAATGGTTCTCTAACTAATCTCAGCTCATGATGAAATCCTGAAACTAGGAATTGGTCTGATATTACATGGTTGAAGGCAATTGGCTACAGGTAGCCTCCCGCCTAGGTTTTCTGCTTGTTGGAGCTCACCATCAGTCAACAAGGCGTATGCATCTGCAACGACATTGAAGGATTCTGAGATTCGAAACCACATCACCCATTAACGCTTGCCATTCGGACGCGTGATTGACCTCTTTCTTGTCTTTTAAACAACCTTATCAGAAAATTCTCATTTTATTTAATGTACATAGATGATAAATTCATCTTTTTAGGTAATAATTTAGACAGAAGTGCAATAAGGTCTTACTTCAGTGAAGTATATTCACCTATCAAATTCACATGTGAATAAGAATCCTAGGGTAAAATTACCTCCCCAGGTGTCCAACTGACAAGAAGGCAAAAATGGTAGTATAAAAGGGAATTGGCAGAAGGAAAGTAATTGGACCGGTTAATATGCACATTCTCACAGAATTGTTGTTCCTCAGTGTGAAAGAAATTCGTAAAAGACTCTTAGCATTAGGATCAGAATTAATTTCTACTAGAAAATGCGATTGAAGATAAACTTAAGGTTGTATCGTTATTATTATTCCGTTAAGTTCTTAGAGGGGAATAGGGTTGGCTTCAACAACACATCTCCACTTTCTTCTATATTCTGCTGTCCTCCTCAGCTGGCAGAGCCCACCATTTCACATAATCTCTCATCTCCTCCAGCTCCCCACACGATCTCCTCCATGTCACCCTGACACCGATGACCCAGTTATCGCTTCCCATGTGGATTCCATTTGAGCGGTGGACTGCATGTGTGTGCGATGTCATCCGACTATTTCCTTAATGTATGACCGATCAATTCACCTTCATCCTCTCCCAAAATATTTGTTGAGCGATCGACTCTTCCTCTGTTGGTTTATTCCACTGAGGAGATTCTTGTTACTAATTTCTTTCTGACCAGCAGGCAATTTGATCTTCAGTATGTGGAGCTAGCCAGCCAGTGAAGGTGGCAGCTGTTGATAAACCTCTGCATCTTGTTGGAAATCCTTTTTTGCAACGCACTGGTCAAGCTTCTGACCCGTATAGAAGAACGGACTGACTGACTTCACATTTGTATTGAAAATTCCAGATCTGGCGTATATTAGACTTAACATGAAAACAACTACCCTGGGTAGTTCATCATTAAACACATGGCCAATGAAGTAGAAAACAATGCTTCTATAGTTGTTAACAGGAACCTTATCTATATATACGACTACATTTCAAGGGTGATAGACATCCAAGTAAAATACCAATAACCAATAAGTTGAAAAAATTGGTTCAAAGAATGTTAAGTGATGGTAAGCTGCAGCATAACCGGTTGTCATTTCAACGCTGAAACTGAAGTATACAGGCTAGCTAGCTACCTTTACTCGTTTCTATGAATTCAACTACTCCTCTGTAGCCAGTTATATTAGCCGCTGTCTGCTCTAGGAACCTAATTTTTCCTGCTTAGGAACACTTGCCAATGTGGTTAAACAAATTGTATTATTAAAGCCATCAAAAGTTCTACATTACATCACCTTGTCCATACATTTCACAAAGTTAGCGAGCATTGAAGAGTCTCTATCAACAACTGGGTATCGAATAATTTTTTTAAAAAGATCCTACTCTAGACACCGAATACTCCAAACAGAAGACATCACAACATTTTTAATTCATGAAAAATCCCCGTTCGAACATTAATAGAAAGAAGATCAGTAGTTCAGCGAAGAGTCTCTTTTTGGCGAATTCATTTTCATAGCTGTACAATCGCTATGTGGTTATTTTGTGAGTGTGTGTGTGTGGACATTAAATTTGCCAAACGGAAATACAATTAGTAAGTTCAGATGAATTGAATGCTAATATAAGAGGATAGTAAAAAAAAAGTGATGAGTTGCCATAAATGATTGTTAAATAAGAGTTACGTGATGGCATGAATAGTTTGATGTAAGAGTTGTGCTCAGGGTGAACATGGAAACGAAGTAACAACCGGCATTAAGCAAGTGTTTTAAGTAGTTTCGCTTAAATCAACCGGGTCCCTGTGTGTGGGGTATGTGGGTGTGTGTGTGTCAAAGAAACAGGTGCAGCCAGCCGTTGTTGCTACCCTTCTGGCCTGCTGTCGAACCTATGAATTCATAAATTCTCTATTACTTTCTAAAATGTTTCCAGTATTCAATTTAGTAGCATGTTAATGCATATTATCTGTCGGTCTTACTGATGACACTTTGGTCAACTGTAAACACTTATCGAAACCATTGATTGATTCGCTGTGGTTTATAACAGTAATAATGCTGTCAATGAGGATATTTCTTTATTCATCACTGTCACACAGATGCAGAACTTGATGAAGAAAAAGATTTTGAATAAAGCAAGAACAACAGTTTTTCCAGAATAAAATGGTACTATCATTGTTTATTTCATTGGCATGTCATCAGCTCAGCTGCTTGCAGCCTAAAGTCATTATTAAGTATGCCTGCAGATGAAAGAGAAAATGAAAATATCCAGTTACCAGGATGCAGGGCAAGGAAAGACTGATAACCGCTTCTCTCTGAACACATAGATCGACTTTGAGGCACTTGATGGAGATCGGTTCGACAAAATTAAGGAGAAGTGAACTCTTTTGCCCATTGATAATTTTGAATAATCCTGCAACGTCCACCTCATGACCCGTATCAAAGAGATGCCTGGTGATGCCAATCTTCAAAGAAAGCGTTTGTTTGTTTTTCTTTACTGTGATTTCCTTGACATTTGAGCCTTAAGATCTCCGTACTTGTTAATGAACCTTTAAGGGTAACTGTTGTTTTTCAAAATGTTCTCTAGAAACATAAATTCTTCCTCTGATCATTAGAAACCAATAAGTACTTGATAAATCTGTATAGTACTAATTTGAGTTTCTACAGAAGTGCGCACAAATGACTGTACCTGTAGGTAGAACCAAAGGCTTTCAGGCTGCGATGATAGTCTATTAACGATTCAATCACTGGGATAGAATACACTGCTCGTTGAATTTTATCTTCCAGAAATTCATGAAATTTAGCGTAACTTCCAGGCAGTGTCATTATTATTATTATTATTATATCGTTTAAGGTGGCCTGCTTAAATCATTGGGCTACCGAAATTACTTTCCTCTAAAATGCCTTATTTCATCTGAATTTATCATTATTTAAATCGTCCACTCATATCAAATGACCTATACATAAACTTGGGCGATGATTTAACTTGCTCCCAAGTAAACGCTGTACAATTCTTTAATGAAATGAAGATATACTTCAGATTGTTACTTTACATGTGAATCCTGTGTGAAGAAAAGGTACTTTGGAACTGAATACGCTGAAAATTTTTGTACCGTACATTCGCATACTGTCTTAAATAAAGCTTTACCATTATTATTAATTCCTAGAGGAACATAGGACTTCAGCCGCGCGTCTCCATGGCGTTTGGTTTTCTGCCAACTTTTTCAACCCGCTCCAAGTCTGCCCACATGCTTTCATCTCCTCTTCATATGACCTCCTCCAAGTCACCCTCACACCGACGACCAACTCGCCGCCCGCTTCCCTTTCGAATTCCAATCGAGCAATGGCTTGTCTAGTGATGTCACTCACTTGATGGTTTCCTCAGAGTATGGCCAGCCAATCCATCTCCATTTCTTCCTGCCTATTTGTTTCACAATTGGTTCCTGACTGGTGTCATCAGCGAGTTGGAAACTTCCTAATCGACTTGGTAGTAGGAACCAATCATGAATTCTTATTGGTGGATGGTGACTAGCAGTGGAATCCAGGATGCGCATATCTCCCAATTTGGGAGGCGTCAGCTGGATGTGCCGAAATTCGGCAAAGAGTGATTATTTTCCAATCGTTGCTAAAATTTAGTGCCCATAGTTTCAAACCCTAAAGCGTTATCCACTAGACCACTTGGGCCACAAAAGCCACGTCTTGTGCAACAGGTCAGTTTTCGCTTTTCAATTCAGTAGTAATGAATTCTGCCAAGAAAATTGCAAGAACTATATCCTGAAAAAGGGCGCTAGTGAAAATAAGATTCATTTTTCGAGGTTGACTACCAATAATTTCCTTGGTTCTCTGTTGTCCTCGGTTCAGTGATGAGTGAATTTGGCTAATGTTCAGCAATCGACCATGCAGACACGCTTAAGATAAACTTGATTGTTTGATGATTT